CGAGTATGCCATACTACAAGGACATCTACACTCAATGGCAAGTGTGTTATCCGGGTGCTTACGCACGCGCATGGCCCAGCAGGCGCCTGGGTTCAAACCCCAGCAGCAGCAAAACTCCCGGATCTTGATAATGTAAATCCGGGAGCGGGGCGGGGCGTGGCAGCGGGGAAGGTACGTAGTACGAAGCGTGGGCGCGTGGGGCGTTCGCGTGCGGCCGCCTTAGCCTTGGCGCTTGCGCGCACGCGCTCGTGGTGGCGCCTGCTTTTTCACCTCTTCTCCTTGACCTTGGCGCTTGTGCGCACGGGCTCGTGGCACGCGCTCGTGGTGGTACCCGAAAAACAGCGAAAAAAAACGTTGTCGGGTTTGCTGTTTTTCCACCTGTACGGGGTGCTGGCCAGCACGGGCTTGTGGCACGCGCTCGTGGTAGCACCCGAAAAACAGCGAAAAAACCCGCTGTCGGGTTTGCTGTTTTTCCACCTGTACGGGGTGCTGGGCAGCTGTACGGGGTGGTGGGTGGGAGTGGGGAACGTTCCCGCTATGATGCCAATGTAGCGGACCCACTAGGTGTGGTGCTCCGCTAGGGATGACGATGGAGATGGAGGATGAGGGAGGAGCGAGATAGCACATCGCACCTCCCACGCAAGACTCCAGCGCATGTATTCCAAAAGTGTGCAACTGTAGAATGATCCTGAAAACAGACAACTGCTGGGGTATACCCCAGCGAACTGAAGGGACAGGACTGGACTGGCTGGTACCGACAGAGGTACCGGCCTAGACTGGACTGCCCCGAATAAAAGACAGGCCTGTGAGAACAGGCCAAGGGGCTGGTCTCACAGGCCCACCAGAGGTCCGCGACACCGAAAGCTCACCTCGTTGCAGCAGCAACAGGACGCTCCCGGCGAAGGCTCCAGCGGCGGCGGCGATGGCTCCAGCAGCACAACCGCTGGGCAGTGGGGAAACAGGGCAGCATGCCGTCAGCGTCGACAACCCCAGCACACCGGCGGCAGGCGGGGACGAGCAGCAGGCACCACGGCAACGGGGCAGCGCTGCAGCGGCCTACTGCTTCGGACGAGAGCCGCACCACTCCAGGGTACTGGGCCAAATTCGAATTTAAAAATTGGTCCGATCTGGGCCGTCAATGTTAGTTGATCGACGGCCCAGATCGGACCATCAATATTTCAAATTCGGCAGGGCCCTTACCGGATCCGCCTCCAAGGCGGGGTTCTGAAGCTCGATCAAAACCCCTGCCCACCCATAAACCCCATAAAATAGACCTGCGCCTATTTTGCGCAGGCCCCAGAATGGTAATTTCCGGGTCCCTTCTTCCGGCCGGATAAACCGGATGGCCCTTGACCATCCGGATGTCCGAAAAAAAAAACTTAGGTTTTTATTGAAATCAATCAAATTGATTGATCAATTGATTGATTGATTGATCGATTGATTCATTGATCGATCCATTGATTCATTGATCAATCAAATAGGCCCTGACCTTTTTTTTTTTCTTTTTTTTTTAGCACGGAACTGTTTTTGTTTTTTAGCACGGAACTGTTTTTTTTTTAGCATGGAACTGTATGCCCAGGTGCAAGTCCCAGCCGCATCCCGCTATTGGCCTGGGTCTAGGCCCGGGCCTGTACGGCCGTTGACCTGGGTCTGGCCAGGTCGCCGTTGACTTGGGTCTGGGCCCGGGCCTGTACCGGGAACACAGGCTAGGAGTAGGCCANGGCCTGTACGGCCGTTGACCTGGGTCTGGCCAGGTCGCCGTTGACTTGGGTCTGGGCCCGGGCCTGTACCGGGAACACAGGCTAGGAGTAGGCCACGGAGATAGGCCCGGGGAAGGTCGGACAGCTACGTGGAGGCACGTCGG